AGGACCTGGAAGCTGCGCCTCAGACCTCAAACCAACTTTGCATTTTTTCAAGAAATTCTCAAAACTGAAAACACACATAGAGCGTGATTCAAAGCCTATAATCAATTCAAAAAGCTTTCTGAGGCCTTCCTGAACGTCACTCAATCCTTTTCCAGTCCTCACGCATAAAGAAGTGGTAGAACAAAGTCCAATTTTCTGAAACTTTTCTCATAATCGTGTTTTAATATACATGACTTTTTCATACATTTGAATGTTTGATTTACACTAATATGCACTCCCTGAAGCTAATGATGTATTTTAATTAAGTTTTTATGGCCTGTATGCAAAGTTACCATGGAAGCTCTTTAGGGTTTCAGAGGTCAAAAATTAGGGCTTCTTTCATGTGGAAAAATTAAGCCACAAGACCTATGCCATTGGACTCAGAAACTCCAGACGAATCCAACCAGACCATCGCGCCCTTTTTCTTTTTCGTTATAACCTAATCGCTATTTTTCCTGGCTTTGTTTAGTGGGGGTTTAAAACCCCCGCTATTTGATTTCTTTTACAGGCAGAAAGAAGAAGATGATGCAGGCGTGGCTAAACGTGGTTGGTTGATTTGAAGCTTGGCGCGTTTTTTTTTCCATTATTACAACCACTAACGCTTTTTCATATATGTTGGTCATTGTTCAGTATACATAAAAACCAACGCGCTTGGCTGAGTGGTTAATGTGTTGTCATGCAATCAATGGGACCTGGGTTCGATTCCCAGGTCCCCTCCCTTCTCAATATTATTTTGCTTTCCATATTTCCATGCAGCGTCCCCTTCAGTGGTCTACCATACACTCAATGCCATAGCTTGCCAAATGTCCCAGGCGATGAATCTAAGGGCTAGGATGAAAGGTCCATCATACACATCAGTCAACCATGCACACGTGAACGCTGAAAGTCAAACAGGCCAAGCTTCTAATGGGCCTCATTACTGCAATATACCTCCAAAAGGGTCAACAAACCCCCCTATGTTTGTATTTCTTTTCTCATTCTTTTTTCTTTTTGTTTGTTTTAATTTAATGATTTTTTCTTTGTATTCATAAAATAAGTTTTATAATATAAAAATATAAAAAAAATCAGAAAGTCAAAACATAAAAATATATTTATTTATTATTTAATGTATTAATGTTTTTGTTGTAAATAAATTTGATAATTAATTTAGCTTTAAATTAGGGTTTTAACTTTAACTTCTTTTCTTTAATAAATTAAAAACATAAAAATTAGGGTTTCTAGCTTTTTATTCTTTTTTCAATAATTAAAATTTCTTCTTATTATTATCAATAATTAATTGTTTTTGTAAATAAATTTGTAATTAAATAATTAGGTTAAAACTAGGTCAAACTTAGACATTTTTTAATAAATTAAAAATAGTTTAGAATTAGGGTTAATTCCATTTAATTTTCTCATTAAATTCCATAAATACAAAAAAACTCCAAAAAATAAGTTCTTGCTTTTATTTAATTTAATTAATTTATGATTTCGACGTAATTTCTTTAAAAGGGTCCAACACCCTCGCATTCTCGATTTTATTTCTTTTCGCACATTTACTTTTATTTCCTTTTTTAAATTCCATGTACTTGCCCCAAAGCCTTGTAATAGATTAATTAGGATATTTACTTTCCGCATTTTATTTATTTCAAATTGGGTCTTGGTTTAATTTGGCGATGTCGACCCGCGCCTTTGTAATAGCGTAGGATTTTTAATTCCGCACCTTTTAACTGCTAATAATTTGCATGAAAGAATGAATGCCAAAAATAAAAACAAAGCGTAGATCACAAATGCATGACAAGATACGCATAATTGAAAATGACACACAACTCACACACCACCCCTAGGGTACGCCTCACTGTTGCCTTGCCCCTCGAAAAGTGGTCGGCGAGTAGAGGACGTTTTAGTAAGTCCTCATGTCCATGAACATGGCATGGGGGTAGCTTCTAAGGTGTCTTCCTATTACTCTGGTGACCACACTGTCCCTAAACCATGAATTGACCCGAACACCTCCAACGGTGGTGCTACCTACCTCTCAATGGTGGGATGACACTACCTTAAGGACATTTACACAGACGAATTCCTTAGGGTAGGTAGATGACTCGTAGATACTTGCTCTAATCCAAAACAAATCAAAACCCTTTTCACACCGACACTTTTCAAAAAGCTTTCAGAAACAACTTTTCAAACGCTCTTGAGGACTGATACAAGAGTCGAACTGAAATTTTAAACGAAGCTTTTTTAAACCCACAGTTGAAAAGCAAACAAACATTTTGAAAACACAAATGAGCAAGTATCTAAGAGCCCGTGGATAACCATGGATAGAAAGGGTTCTAACACCTTCCCTTTCTATAAATCTACCTCCCGGACCGAGAACAATCTCAATAAGGAATTTTTCTGTGCTTTTGTCCTTTCCATTTGGAGAAAATAAAAGACAGTGGCGACTCTTGCTTCCGCGACATTTTGCGAACCAGCGTTAAACAGTCAGTTCCAGATCCACCGATCACATGCTCGTTCGGGCCCTACCCCGATGCCTATGTATCCATTTTAAGGAATCAGAGCAGTCGTAGTTCGGCTTGCATGTTTTTGTTTGTTTGTATTTTTTACCGAACAATATCAATTTCGCCTTCTGCCGCAACTCGACCTTTGGAGACTTACGCGTCAGCACATAAGTGAATTAATATGCTCTTCTGAAAAAAGGTTTTGAGAAAATGTGCCTGGGCGTACAAAAGGTTTGAATTTGTTTGTTTTTGTAATGAACGATATTAATTTCGCCTTCTGTCGCAACTCGACCGTTGGAGACTTACGCGTCAGCACAGAAGTGAATTAATATGTTCTTTTTAAAAAGTTTGAAAGGAAGGCCTGAAGGCAAAAAGAGTTTGTATTTGGTTGATATTTTTGCTTGTAGATAATAGCTAGTTTACCTCAAGAGAGAGATTTTTGCCATGTCTCTACTTATTCATGAAATGATTCTTTAAGATTTGAATTACGCCAAGGCTTAGAGCAAGAGAATGATAAGATCGAGAAGAGACCCGCTTATCGTATCCATGTTCAACGAAGGCACGATTCTCGTCAGTAAATTTTTAGTATTTTGAAGTTTGCGAGAAAAAGAAGTTTTTGTTTTAGATGCGTATGAGAAAAGGGGAATAAAAGTCACAGGGAGACTAGCCTATTTCTAAACCTAATTTTATCATGCGTTGTTATACCTAATTCGAGGATGAATAAAAGGAATTCTACCTGATGTTCGCATGCATAGCTTGCAGTAAAGTCCTGTTTCTCCTGATTTCTAGAAAAGCAATAAAGTACGAGAATGAGGAATAAAATCAGGTTGTGGAGATACCAAGCGAATAAGAGTTCGTAATACAACAAGCAAAGCAGAGAAGCCCGGAAAACTTCGAGTAAGATCTGAATCATCATGTGATAGTCCTGCATGAAGATATAAGATTTATACAAGGCAAAAAAATACTCCGCTAACGACTCATGGTACGAGAAATCTCTGTTGAAACCCTTAAACCACTCATTAGACCAAAGAAATTTAATCGAAGATACAGAATCACCAAGAATGTGCTAAAGTCCTAATTTTAATCATGTACCAAACATTAATTCAGTTAATTCCTAAACCAATAGAAAAATTACGGAAAAAATATTATCAAGTCAAGAATCAACATATTAATATCCACACAAAATTCCAGCAAAAAATCATGGGAGGAAGTATCAATGTTAATTGCTAGAAAATCAAAGGATTATGATGAAATTAACATGAAACAAGGTGGTGTGAGGACTGAAATAGTAGTGTGAATAATGCTGGCCCATGCTGAAAAGCCCATAAGCGTTTTTTTCTTTCAATTATTTAAGTTTTGTCAAAAATTCTTAATGGACCCAAAAGAAGGGGTTGCCCTGTCCAACAAGTCCCATTCTTCTCTAATTTCCAGCAGATCTATTTTTATGATTATAGAAAAGAACAAGTCATGAGAAGAAAAAAAAAGAAGTCCCAAAATAGTCGTGTTAAATGACTAGATAGGGTTTGTGATTTTGTAGCTTCGCTGTTCAAGACCGACCTCTTCCCTTCTCAGATTGAAACGCGGAATTCTCTCCTCTTCCGAACACCCTCACCCTCCTTTCATCGCTTGTCTTTGCACATCGCTACCATGGAATACCTCTTTGCTCAGTCTCAAACATGAATCCACTTCTCAGAAACACATGTCGGCGCAAATGGAACCCTTGCCATCGTCGCCCCAAAAACCATGATGAAACTCAGGTTTTGTTATTTCCTCATCATTCAACAAGACCGAAGGTCTAGAAATCGTGAACCCTAGGTGTACTACCGTCGAAGATTCGCATGAAAAGAAGAAGATTGACGCAAGAGCTATTTTACTATCGTGTAATCAGTGCGAACAATGAAATTAGGTAAGTATGACACGATGATCTAACCCAAAAACAACTGTTGGCTCCGACGGTATTAGCGTGTCCGAAAGGCCTCGTAGACGAGCTTTCTCCTCCAGGTATCTTCCTTTGTTCGACGCATTCACTTCTTTATCTTCTTCTTCCTTTTTCTTTGTGTATGAATCCTGAATTGTTTTCTTCTCTGCATCTGTGAATTGAGTTTTTGAATAATGATGTGTGTGTGTGATTGTGAATTGAGGTGATGAAGAAGGGGCGGGGTTGATGGGAATTGTTGATAAAGATTTGTGGTGATTCTCAGAAGAACGAAGTTGGTGATGAAACGCTGTGGGTTCGATAATGGTTGATGAAGATCGATGATGAAGTATGGATGATTATGTAGTTTTAAAGAGAGCCATAAGGTGAGTTTTTTTGTCTGATTTTCTGAATAATGAATCTCTATATGAATCTATGTTTAATCTTTTCTGAGATTTTTGTTTTGTGTAAATTCATAATGAATGCAGAAAGTTTTCAAAGACTTCGTGAATTCTTCTATGGATTTGATGTAAAGAATACAGTTAGAAGAGAGAGAGTGTAGAGAGAAGATGAAAATGAAGATGAGAAGAGGTCAGAAAGTTTTTGTGATGGTGCTTTTTCAGAATGCTTCCCTGCTCCGTGGAAGGTGAGTTTTTTTTGAATAATAAATCATGAATCTGAAAACTGAATGATGACCCCCCTTCTTTCTTCTGTGATTCTGAACTTCGATGTGCATTGAAATTATTCTGGATGCTGATTATCGCGATGATGCTGAGATGAAGAGGATGCAGTCACAGAGATCTCAGAGGGGATAAAGATGATGAACTTGCAGAGAAATTCAAAGAGAATTCAAAGGAAGTTGCAGAGAATTTGAGAATGGTGAGTTTTTTGTGAAAGTGTTGAATGATGAATGTGAATCTTTTCCCTCCTTTCTTCTTCTGCTTTTGGTGTTATCATTATGATGTTATTGATGATGAATATGAAACAGGCTGCGTTTACAGGAGACTTTGAAATGATGATGATGTTGTTGTTTGTAGTGGAAGAAGTTTTGCAACGTGCTGAGATGAAAGATGATCATTGATGTGTGAAGAATGTTGAAAGTGACGACATATTGAAGAAGATGATGGAGCATGATGATGATGGATATTGAATATTTTATGAAGATGATGCAAGATTGCTGAAGATAATGGGGAATTACAAAGAGAAAAGAGGATGAAGATTGCAGCCATTCTTAGAAGAACGAAGAATACCCGTTATTGATGACGGAACCGGTTTATATAATCAGTCAGGATCTGCAAAAGTTTGTTAGAGGTAAGTGCATCTGAGCCCTTGGTTTAAATTAGTTGGTTAGCTAATGAATGGTTGAGATGAATTCGGTTAGAGCAGTTAGTTATTCTGTTTGGCAGTTAGCAGGGGTAGAAAAGCGGTTAGGTGGTTAGTCCTGTTTGTAGTTTGTTGGAAATTCTGTTAGTAGTTTGCTAGGGGTTGTTTTTAGAGTTTATTATAGACAATTAGGGGCTGTTATGAGTTTGTTATAGACAGTTAGGGGTTGTTATGAGTTTGTTATGGAGTTATAAATTTTCTATGAGGAGATTAATTTTCTATTTTTTTATCTTTCTATGCAGGGCCGAACAGGTAATGCAGGGCCCTTGCTTTGTTCTGGATCTATACTGATCGGTTTGTGGCACTTATCAAAGATTGTTGCAGTTTTCATGAAGGAGGATTTGATGGAAGATGGATACCAAGAAGGACGAACAGATTTGACCAAGGTTGTGATTCCGGTTACGTGAGCACGTGCCATAGAAGTTCCGGAGAGAATGTTGAACATGTTTCCGGTTGCTCTAGAAGAAAATGCTGCAATGCACGGTGTTGGTTGAGCTCCTATTACTGTCTTTGCTTGTAATATCCTTAACATCGACTTACTTGTAGTTTTGATATAGGATAGAATCTTTTCGCCTGTTTTCTTTCTGACAATAGTAGAATGGATCAAAAATGGGACAGCAATGTCTTGATATGTCTCATCAATAAGTATCATGCTAACTCACCCGCTTCTTCTTTTTTTTAAAACTATTTTGCTCTCTTTTTTTTTCTTTGAATCTGTTGAACTCTATACATTTATACAAACTAGAACCTTCCCTTTGGTATTTGCTTTATTTAAAGAATTCTCTAAACAGTAACTGGATTGATAAGGAGTGAAGTATCCTGCAAATGCTTGAGAAGCCGAAATTATCCTTTATGATGTATTCATTTCAAACAGACTTAGACTTTCACCTGTGACTTTTGCACCGTTTCCTTTCATAGTTCCACTATAGTTAAACTCCAATTACATGCTTGAAATAATATTGTCAATCAAAATATTGGCTTTATGTTATCAAAATGCAAATGAATCCAATACTCACACTAACCATGACGCTTGCCTCATAACTCAAAACAAGATCTTGAATCAAGACTTGGACCTTAATTAAATGCCACATCGTGCTTGAATTTCATAGAAAAGTAGAATTCAATATTGAAATTCATATTATCCACACCTTGTAATCCAAGCCAAATACACCTCTTTGAATTGACGAAATGTGGATCCTCAAGAAATCTTAATGCCCCCCTTGTATTGATCCTTGACGAATTAATTTTGAGGCCATAGGGAATCCATGGACCAGAATCTTAAATCATACCAATTGATCGCTTGGCAACACTAAATTCATAGCCCACATGATTGAACGCTTATCAACGAATAGAAACCCTGATTTTTAATGAAATTTCCTTTTCTGAACCAATATTTCTTTTCCTTTTTCCATACCATTCTTCAAGTGCAACTTGAATGCCTAACACATATTAGATGAAAGTTCGAGGGAGACCTTGGTCCGAGAGTTAATTGTTCAGATCTTACTTTAACCGAAGTAAACAAATCTTATCCACGTATCTTTGAACTTGGCCCCTGATTATGCATCTCTAGGTCTCATAAGAGCTTGTAAGCCCATTAACCAGGTATGCCATGTTGAACCAAAACCTGCCTTGAATGCCTTGAACCTTGAATTACTTTGCATGAATTCTTCCATGAGAATCCTACTTCAATCCAAATCTACTCGCATTGCAGATAACACATGACAATGATAAGAACAATAATTTCCTTGGTTAAGAAGAAATCCACAAATTCATATCTTAGATCATGAACCATGCTTCACAATCTTGATTCCCCGTTTAGACGCACAGAGAAATATCCGGATAAAACATCTTTGAACCATGATTCAACAAAACCTAAATTGATTAACTGAGGAGTAGATGAATGTCATGTCACGGTCATTAATCTTAATCAAATGACAAGCATACTTATAGGAAAGGATGCCATGATTCGAAGCCCACATATGCTAGGTCACGTCCTAGAGTTCTTGACCAGAATGACCTACAACCAGTTGTTCATCAGAAGATATTAGCCCAATAACTTTGTGGAGAAGAAGTCCAGAAATGAGCTTTGAACCAAAACCTTAATTCTAAAACTTTGTACACCGAGAAGACCCTAGATAATCAAACTTATCCAACACATACACCTCAAATCATCTGTAAACCCTAGCTTCCTAACTGCTGATCTTTTGAACCTCAGGTGATCTATTTTATGAAAAATGCGTGTTATGTGCATGACCCATTGGAATAATGCAGATGAATGCAAAAGTCTAAGACAACATAAAAGTGTAATTAGGAGGGCAAATTTTGGGGTGCAACAATTTGAACCGGGCGAGCCCCAAGGATGACTTTTCGCTCCCCCACATCGACGTTCTGGTTGACAACACAACACAACACAAGATATTTTCCTTCATGGATGGTTTCTCTGGTTACAATCAGATCAAGATGGCACCCGAAGACATGGAGAAGATAACCTTCGTCACGCAATGGGGCACTCTGCTACAAGGTGATGTCGTTTGGATTAAAGAATGTCAGGGCAACCTATCAGCGAGCCATGGCTGCCTTATTTCATGACATGATTCACCATGAGATAGAGGTATATGTGGATGACATGATAGCCAGGTCTCAAACAGAGGAAGAGCACCTTGATCATTTACAAAAGTTGTTTGATAGGTTGAAGACGTAAAATCTGAGGTTGAATCCAAACAAGTGCACCTTCGGAGTAAGGTCTAGTAAACTGCTAGGTTTTATTGTCAGTGACAAGGGCATTTAGGTAGACCCTTCAAAAGTGAAGGCCATACAAGAGATGCCGGATCCTCACAATGAGAAGGAGGTCAGAGGCTTTTTGGGACGACTAAATGACATTTCCAGGTTCATTTCCAATTTAAATTCTACTTGTGAGCAAATCATCAAGCGCCTGAAGAAAGATCAAGTGGTAAAACGGAATGATGAATGACAGACCACCTTCAAAAGAATCAAGGAATACCTTCAAGAACCACCAATTCCGATTCCTCCGATTGAAGGAATACCTTTTATAATGTACTTAACAGTGTTAGATAATTCAATGGGTGTGTGTGCTGGGGCAGCATGGCGAGTCTGGTCGAAAAGAGCACGCAATATACTACCTTAGTAAAAAGTTTACCGACTATGAAACAAGATACTCACTGCTCGAGAAAACATGCTAAGTACCTAAGAGCATCCCATGCCAAAGCAATTTCAAAATGAGCAAGTACCTAAGAGCCCATGGAAAACCATGGGTAGAAAGGGTGCTAACACCTTCCCTTTCTATAATATATCCCCCATACTTAGAAACATCTCGAAAAAGGTTTTTCTGTTCTTTTTCCTTTTCCTTTATTATATGAAATAAAATTCGATGGCGACTCTTGCTTACCGCGAAATTTATGAACAAAAAACGCAAACCAGTATAACAGTCGGTTCTGCCACCGTATCACAGAACTGGCGACTCTGCTGGGGAAATAAATAAGTGGGGTACACCTTAAGATTTAGGTCATTCTTAATTGCTTCTTTGGTTTGTCTTGTCTGATTTACTTTTAAGGGTATCTTTTTGGTTTATTTGGATCCTAAACCCGGATCGGGGGAATTCCTTTTAGGTATGTAGCAATAAACTGTGAGGGAACTGCGCGGGGTATACCAACACGGTTTAAGAAGTAGCTACATTGATGCAACATTTTGGTTGGTACCGGTAGCCCTTGAGACAATCAAGGAGAATACGGGGCCGCTGCGTGGTGTCATAAAGCGTCAACTGACCTTAGAACCTTTAATTGCACAACTTGGCCAGTAGGACGTAATAAGATGGCCGACTTTGGTGTATTCCCAAGGTCGATAGATACTCGATGCTACACTCATTGAGGTCTGACTCCTGAGTTTTGTTTGTTTGCGAGTCAATAGCATATTGAACAAAGCTTGGGGGAAAGATCAGTGATATTGAGATCCCTTAGAACTCGGTTATTATTTATAGGACCGGTTGAACCAATCCAGCTTCAAGAGGGTATGGCCTTAAAACTCATGCAGGCTTTAAACCTAAGGACTTGGTGTGACTTGTTTGTTGCTTGCTATACATGTGATTTCTTAGCATAATCATGACATCATAAGCATGGCATATTATACTAACCATTTCAAGGATTTTCTAGGGCTCATCTTTGCTTTGTTTTGTAGGACATAGCATCTACCCGCAGGAACACTATCCAGATTAAACTTGTGAAAGTACCTCCTCAACTAAAGGACTTGGAATTAAGGATTCCAGAAAGCTCTCCCTTTACTGAAAAACATGGTAGCCTGTTCAACTTGGTCACTTCAAAACCTAATGAAGAATTGTTAAAAATGCTATTTCAGTTCTTTGATCCTTTGCACCACTGCTTCACCTTCCCGGATTACCAGCTAGTGTCTACTATGGTTTATTTGGATCCTAAACCTGGATCAGGGGAATTCCTTTTGGGGTACAACAGTTTCCCCTGTTCAATCTTCTTAGACTTGAGGATGCAGATTGGCTGACGTGCCTTTCGTAATCCGAAGGTGGAAGATGATTGAACACTAGAGTGCCCAGAAATTTGCGCTCGCATAGTAGTGTGATGATGGGAATGGGCTTATAGATGCCATTTGGAGATTGATGGATAGGATGATGGGCTTATAGATGCCATGCTGACAGGTGATGGATAGGTGGATGGGCTTATAGATGCCATCTGGATGTCGATCGCGTAAGAGATTCCTTAGCGAGAATTTGCGTACCTGAAAAAGAAAATGATTACCTGGCCTGTTACAGGAGCTGGTCTTCAAACTCTTTGTATATATTCGCCCTGACTGGTTACAGGAATTGAATATGGAGCTTCAAAAGGTGATGAATGAACCAGGGATGGTTACTACCTCAACGGGACGGTGAGAGAACCTTGGGTGATTACTACCTCAACAGGAACGCTGAGAGAATGTTGGGGCGATTACTACCTCAACAGGAACGCTGAGAGAATCTTGGATGTCTTCTAATGGGATAAGAATCAGGGAGATCTTAGGGTCGATCTGACAGAACCAGAGAAGGCCTTTCACTGGATAAGAATCAGGAAAATCTTAGGGTCGATTTAACTGAACCGGGCAAGGTCTTGGAATATCATCAACTGGATAAGAATCAGGGAGATCTTAGGGTTGATATGATTGAACCAGAGAAGGCCTTTGACTGGATAAGAATCAGGAAAATCTTAGGGTCGATTTAACTGAACCGGATAAGGTCTTGGAATATCTTCAACTGGATAAGAATCAGGGAGATCTTAGGGTCGATCTGACTGAACCAGAGAAGGCCTTTGACTGGATAAGAATCAGGAAAATCTTAGGGTCGATTTAACTGAACCAGACAAGGTTTTGGAATATCTTCAACTGGATAACA